CAGCATCTCAAGTACCAGGGTCCTTATCGTGGCCGACACTGACTTGAACTTTGCACCCTGTTGCCATGCCTACTACTGTGTGCATCACAACAACACGAAATGATATTATTTTGTTATTGAGTTTGTAACTATCTATTCTGCACCCTTTTGTTTAGTTAGTTTTTCACCCTCAAATAGTACTTTTTGTACCGCTGGTGTGCAATTCAATCATGTAACATGTCCATTTGTTAGATACATACATGATTACAATCGATTTCTTGTGTACTGCGCATGCCTATGGATAGGACGCCGTGTAATGAAACTCTTGCTATCATTGTTGACACTTTATCTAAACAACACCAGTGACTCCACTCTTTAACTATTCTTTGGGCCAACACTTACGCCAATTTGCTGCAGGTGACAATGTGTATAATATTTCAGAGACCTTTCCTTGTGCAACGTAAAGAGAATGGTTCTAACCATTAAGCGTAATGATGACATAATAATTTTCAAAGAGCTTTCATTATTAGAAGGGCTGGGAAATGCACTGTCCAAGTTGGTTTCTGTGCCTCGTATATAGGGATCCTGTCGTAAACCCCAGAATTTTTTTGCCTATTTATAATACATATGTATCTAATTGAACGTAGTGGTAAGTTTATTAGAGAAATTCTTCATCTTCTTCTTGACAGGACCAGCTTCATCAAGTGTAGGTCGCGTCGCTTAGCTGCGCACTGCACCGCGCGCGCTGTACGATCGTGGCGGCGCGCGGCGGCGGTGTGGTGGCCGGCGGCCGGCCCGCCCTGGCCTAATGCGCACGCGCGCGCGCACGTACGTGGCCCGCCGCGCGCGCCTCAAACGCGGGACTGACCCCGCTCGCTTAGCTATATAGAGGAGTCTCGTTATGTACGGACATCCTAACCGGGTTAAAGGTCACGCTTCGCACCGCTAATAAGCATGCGAATACACGGAGAATACACGGGAACACTGTGTCTGCCGAGTCCTCTGTGTCGGCTGTGTCCCTTGTGTCTGCTGAGTCCTCTGTGTCGGCTGTGTCCCTTGTGTCTGCTGAGTCCTCTGTGTCCCTTGTGCCTGCTGAGTCCTCTGTGTCTGCTGTGTCCCTTGTGTCTGCTGAGCCCTCTGTGTCGTCTGTGTCCCTTGTATCTTCTGTGTCTGCTGAGTCCTCTCTGTCGGCTGTGTCCCTTGTGTCTTCTGTGTCTGCTGAGTCCTCTGTGTCCTCTGTGTCTGCTGTGTCTGCTGAGTCTGCTGAGTCCTCTGTGTCCCTTGTGTCTTCTGTGTCTGCTGAGTCCTCTGTGTCGGCTGTGTCCCCTGTGTCTGCTGAGTCCTCTGTGTCTGCTGAGTCCTCTGTGTCGGCTGTGTCCCTTGTGTCCTCTGTGTCTGCTGAGTCCCTTGTGTCTGCTGAGTCCCTTGTGTCTGCTGAGTCCTCTGTGTCGGCTGTGTCCCTTGTGTCTGCTGAGTCCTCTGTGTCGGCTGTGTCCCTTGTGTCTGCTGAGTCCCTTGTGTCTGCTGAGTCCTCTGTGTCGGCTGTGTCCCTTGTGTCTGCTGAGTCCTCTGTGTCGGCTGTGTCCCTTGTGTCTGCTGAGTCCTCTGTGTCCTCTGTGTCCCTTTTGTCTTCTGTGTCTGCCGAGTCCTCTGTGTCCCTTGTGCCTTCTGTGTCGGCTAAGTCCTCTGTGTCCCTTGTGTCTGCTGAGTCCTCTGTGTCCCTTGTGTCTGCTGAGTCCTCTGTGTCCCTTGTGTCTGCTGAGTCCTCTGTGTCGGCTGTGTCCCCTGTGTCTGTCTGCTAAGTTGACTTTAGGGCGCATGCGCAGTGCGTTGAGGCTGCTCGTTCCAAGAGTTTGTGTGCGAGTGTTTTGACCTTCGTCCCTTCAAGGTTTTCACGTGAGTGTGGACGTTCCTCTACGAAGGGTCTTCCTGACTGTCAAGCCATAGCCTAGGTAGCTGCGAGTAAACTGAGCTTATGAGCTCATTTCTGGTCTGTCTCCATTATAATACATACACATACAGTACTCATTCATCTGTATTGTCGATTGTGTTGCCTGTAAATATACATACTCAGTCGTTCCGCCAAACCGGAAGTCCCATAGTACGCGCGTACAATTTTATTTGCGCACACGCAGTCGCGCCCAGATCAGCTCGCGGTCGGTCAGAGTACGCTGAGCTCATTACATATTCACCCATCTATAACTTTCTATTCCCATGTTCTATGCCGCTGCAGAACTGGAATAGAGTAGTACTATGCATCGATAGCCTAGATTATGAAAAAGGGGCGTACACTCCAAACCACGTGTAGGCATGGAACCGCAAAAGCGGACCAACAAAAAATCGACAGCCTCTGCATAACCTGCGTAAACATTTTTTCTGAGGCGTCTGGCTCCATGAATATTTTTCAGGTGGACGTAGCTAGATAGAAGTCTTTCTGGGAAAAAAAAGAGCTTGTTCCCGAGCTCCGTCTAAAAGATATGAATTTTCTTTTTTGACCACAAACCACGTGTATCATTACCTGCAAAAACTGCGGAAACCATTGAGGCAGACGTGGGATCTACAGTTTAGGAGCAATAACAGTGATTTGGTAAGTCAAATGATCATTGAAAAGAGTTCATGACAGTAAAAAAAAAAAAGAACACAGATGATAGTGGATAACTGAAGCTAGAGGCTCAAGTAGAAGACGGCTGGCGTTTACTACACCACCAGTAAGCCAGCCTACTGCTACAGCATGCAGTTTATGCAATCAAGTGCACACAAATCTATCATCTCCTATGTCGGGAATTGGCCCTAACACTGGGCATCACTGAGCAGAGCTTGGTTTGTCGTCCCTGTCGTAATGACATTGCCCGTCTTAGGAAAGATCCATGTCATTGTCCTAGGTGGGAAAAGGAGAGGATTAGTGAATGTGCAGTTCTTCAGTGCAGAAACAAATCTTTCAGCAAATGCAATATCCCCATGTCCGACATTGTTCTGTGCCTTGAACTAGCAGGAGAGAGCGTTCCGTCACAGTTAGACACTGCCCCTTCCCTCTGCAAACATCATTATCATATGGTGTATAATGCACACAAGCCAAGGGGTCTAAGACTAATGCATGTGGATGCAAGCGCCGAGGACAGAGCTGTACCGAAGGTTGTCAGTGCCATGAATGTGGTAATCTCCCTCACAGCCAATCTCACACACCTGTCCATACTGATAGAGAGCAAAGGGAGCAAAACACAATCGACAATGAGGATAGTGATAGTTCAGTTGAGTATGACAGTGATGCAAGTATAGATGAGCACCATGCTTTGGATGCTGAAGTTAGTGACATTATGCGAAGCGTGTTTGGAGATGACAGTGATAGTTCTGAAGAATTTTACTAATCTAAGAATTTTACTAATCATGAAACTTGGAACACACATGTACATTAACTCACCTCACCGATAAGACAACCCAGCCCTCACCCAACCCCCTTCATCCCTTAGCATGAAGGCCTAAGCCCTCATTAGGGATGCTGGCCAAAGGACTGGGCTCTGCTGCTCGAGAGGGGCGTGGCAAAGGGGATTTCCCTCTTCCTGGAGGTGGAGTCATTCCATTTCCGGCTCCACCCCTGCCCAAACCCAGTCCTGATCACACCCCCGAAGGGATGGAGAGAAGAAGAAAAAACACAAAAAAAACGAGCACGCCAGAGAGGAGCTTCCACATGGCGACGAGCAAACTAGCAAACTGCCCTGACCACGTGCCCTTTCGCCAAGGCGCATGCGCGCATCGCGGCCGGCTCGTTAACCTCGGTTAACCAACGTTAACCGTCATCTACTGCTATAATCAGCTCCCAAGAAAAAAAAAGTAGATCTCCATCTGCCACAAAGTGCCACAAAGCACCACGATAACTGAACTACATACTGTACTGGCCACAACCTACAAATGATGATTACTAATTCCGCGTAAACTTTTTTTCTGAAAGTCATATATTTTTTATACTTCACAGCCACGTACAATAGTGGTAGCTTTACAACATGTATCAACAACAAACTGTTCTGGCAAAAACAACAAGAGCTACATACGGATAACTGAGACCGTACACAACGGGCATTTTTTACCGAAGTGGGGGCACATAAACACCGGCCACTCGTCCAAGTCAGACGAAAATCTAGCAGTATAACCCTAAATCTAACTGATTCCCGTGGCTTACCTCTCAGAGTTACCGCACGGCTCCGTGCCACGCAGCTTCTCCACAGACCTTTCTGGGGTCCGTCTTCCCTGAACGTCCGAATATGACGTCATTGCGCAAATAAAAATCACGTGGGAATCCGTTGGCGGACGGAACGACTGTACTCTCCCTACTTTACAATAGTCATGGTTTATTGAAGGGTGCTGCACACATGGAAGTTTACAATAAGTTTACCACTGGTTGTGGTGAGTATAATGTTAAATGTTCTCTCCCTCCGCAGGTCTGGGAAGAACAGTGTTCAAACTCTTTCAGGTATTAAACGTAATCTGGAGGAACTAAGATTACATATTGCTTTGCAAGTTGAACCACATACACCTACAACCTCGACAACCTGCTGAGCTCAGCTAGTTGAGCACTCGCCTAGACTGCAGACTGTCCTGGGTTCGAATCCCACCCAGGGCAACTATTTTTTTCTTGTAGTTGTATTTATCTTTGCCATGCAGCCTGTTGTTAACACATGTGTAAATAGCTCTTTACATTTGCTCAGTCATTCTTGGTTGATTTTTTTTCTTCCTCAGCACCCTTCGCTGGCCATTGTGAAGGCTGCTGGACTCATCATGAAGGCCATCATTGAGGTGAACATTACATCATCATTACATCACTGTCTGTCCACATGTGTTGGGTGTGGTCTGTCCAGGAGGGGACGCCGGAGATGGCAAAGAAGATGCAGGACCTGGCGCTGGCAGAGGGAGCTCTCCCCCGGCACCTCCACACCTCCCTCTTCACCGCTTCCAGCGACAACAGACTCCTCACTCACAGGTAAGAGGTCAACTCCTGACCACACCCCTCTATCGACATGTGTAAGGCTACAGCAAGCTCACATTGAAACCCTGCCTTGTACAGGTTAACCAGCTTGTATGTAGACACCACCAACACACACAATGTACATAATGAAGCACTGTCCAAAATCTTCCTCTGTGGGGATGTGCAGTGAGGATTACTTGGTTTGCAAATGTGTGTGTCGCAATGTGCAGCCGCTGGAGTGGCCAGCCCATCAATTAGCAGTGGTAACTGGGGAGCGAAGCAAGCCTAACTAGTCGTCTGTGGGGGGTTTCTATGTATATCTGTCTTTTTTATTTATATGTGATGAGCACTGCACATATCGTAATGTTACATGATTGTAAATACACACTAAATATGAGTAAAACGCAATATGAGCAAAATATTAAACTGCTCGTAGTAGCTTGCCAGCATTTGTTCTATATAGTTACACCAGCCAGTATGCTGACAGTTGCTATCACTGATCAGTGTGTTTGACACACTGCTGTAATGTGATCGGCAGTCCTACAATCAACCACTTGTTTCAGTATTCATGTCTCACTGTTCTGTCTCACTGTTCTGTCTCACGGGAATCTCCAAATAAAGTATGGTATGCAATAGGGCTGCAGATCTAAGGCTGTAAAAATTAGTAGAGTGACAGAAAGTGCAAGGGCTGTTTCCTGTCAGCCTCAGTTTCACCCATTTCTTGGAGTTAGCCCACCGCCTTTGCTTGCTTCTTTCTTGAGCAGCTTGCTTGCCTCAGTCTTCACTAGACCCTCTCTCTAGCTTGTCTGCTGCACTACTGACAGAGCCATGGCTGCCAAACCCTCCACTGCTGCCGAGAAAGCTCTCCAGAAGATCCAGGACCAGGTCACCTGTGGGATATGTCTGGAGCCCTACAAACAGCCGAGGCTGCTCAAGTGCTTCCACGTGTATTGCGAGCAGTGCCTGCAACGTCTGGTACGTGGGGGACGAGAGGGACAGAGTCTCCCATGTCCACAATGTCGCCAGGACACTCCACTGCCAGTGGGTGGAGTCCCGGGGCTCCAAGGAGCCTTCTACATCCACTACCTCTTCGACATCCAAGATGCCCTCAAGAAAGTTAGCTCCAGCGAACAAACCATGTGCAACAAGTGCAAGAAGTTCGAAGCTGTTTGTTTTTGTCGCACTTGCGGGTTTGCATGCCAGCGCTGCAAGGAAATCCATCAGGATTGGGATGAATTAAAAACCCACGAATTTATCGACCTAGACACCTTGACTGGCAATGTGACAACCCTCGTTCCTCCTCTCAAGAAGACTCTCTTTTGTGCCACTCATCCGTCAAAGGAGGCAGACCTCTACTGCGAGACGTGTGACGAGTTGATATGTCGAGACTGCATCGTTCGTGTTCATCGTGACCACCAGTACGATCTGGTGCCCGAGTCGTTTGCCAAGCAAGAGAAAGTGATCGTGGACTCTATCAAGCCAGTGGAAGAACAGATTGCTACATTAGAAAGAGCCGTTGAGTCGGTGGACACTCGATGTGCTGCAGTCGTAGAACAGAAGACGGCTGTGGTGGCAGAGATCCGGACTGCCATGGCACACCTGCGACAAGCTCTAGAGGCGAGGGAGACAGAGCTGGTGGGTCAAGCTGAGCAGACGGCACAGCAGAAACTGAAGACCTTGGCAGCACAGCGAGACGGGTTTGAACTGCAACTGGGCCAGCTGAGGAGCTGCCAGGACTTTGTGGAGGAGAGCCGACGTACTTGCAGCCAGGGGGAGATTCTGAGGATGAAGAGTCCTCTCGTGAAACAAGTCAACGACCTGACAGGCAGCTTCAAGCCAGAGACATTGGCTCTTGCCGAGCAAGCCGACATGGTGTTTGCTCACAGTCTGCCTGAGCTTGTGACATCTTGCCAGCAGTTTGGTAAGGTGTACTGTCATCCAGTGTGCCCTGAGAAGTGTCGAGCTTCAGGTGTGGGCATCAAGGTAGCCACAAGAGAGCAAACAGTGGCTGTCTCTGTAGAGGCTTTAAATAGGGAGGCAGAAGCCTGCTTCAAACCTGTAGACAGCTTGAGGTGTGAGCTAGTTGCTAGCGATGGCAGCAGTCGAGTCAGGGGCACTGTGAAGAGAAGAAATCAGAACATCTACGACATCAGCTACCAGCCTCAGGTCACTGGAGAACATCAACTACACATTCTAATAGAAGAGCACCCGATCTTGAACAGTCCGTTCACTGTCACCGTTCTACCCAACTTCACTGCCCCAGCCAGCATCATTGGAGGCCTCAGCTATCCATGGGGTATAGCTGTGAGGGAGGGAGGTGAGGTTGTAGTAACAGAACGGAGTAGTCACTGCATATCAATCATCAGTGGAAATGGAGAGAAGAAATCATTTGGTACTTGTGGCTCAGGTCCTGATCAGTTCGACCGTCCTGAAGGTGTAGCAATAGACAGCAAAGGAAACATTCTTGTGGCTGACTGTTGGAACCATCGTATTCAGCAGTTTTCATCCACTGGCAACCACCTCAGAACAGTCGGTACCCAGGGCAGTGGACCTCTTCAGTTCCAGTGTCCACCAGGCATTACAGTTCATCCTCACACTGGCAAGGTGTATGTTGCTGACAGGGGCAACCACAGAATTCAGGTTCTGAACTCTGACCTCTCATACTTCAGTAGTTTTGGTAGGAAGGGCTCTACCAATGGAGAGTTCAACTATCCTTATGATGTAGCTACAGACAGAGATGGCAATGTGTATGTAGCTGATAGTCACAACCACAGAATCCAGGTCTTCACAGTCGATGGAGTCTACTTGAGGCAGTTTGGGAAGAAGGGAGAAGGAGAGGGAGAACTAAACGTCCAGTCAGTATTGCTATTGACTCTGGCAATGTAGTGTATGTTGGTGAACTGGGGAACAATCGTATATCAATATTCTCTACTGATGGAGAGTTTATCAAGTCATTTGGAAGAGAGGGAAAAGGTCCTGCGGAGTTTGATCGTCCATTTGGACTAGCAGTAGACAAGAAAGGAACACTGTATGTCAGTGATATGGGAACCATCGTATACAGATCTT